GCATCATTGCACTGGTACAGGTACAGGGCGGCGACCAAAGCAACATTACCCTTCAGGGATAACTGGTTAATTACGGTCATCATTTTTAGCATTCTTTGGCTTTAAAATGAGGCCTAGTGGCAACTGGTGTCTATAGCAGACATGGGGCAAACTAAGGCCCCGGGGGCCTGATGTGGCCCATTCAGCGTTTTAATTGACCCGTAAGTCAAATAGTTTGCTCACGCCTAATCTATAGTAAAAAAAACAAAAACAAAAAACAAAACAAACAAAAAATATAATCTATCCCAAAACAAACAAAAACAGAACATGTAATCTAAAATTTACACTAAACTCCTACCCAATGTAGAGATGCATTTGACAATATTGTCTCAGAGATTTAAAAAATAAAAATGATAATGACCTCTAGAGGTAGACAAACAGTCTGAGCTACCCATTCTTACCTATCTACTGTAAATGGGAATGCTACCCTGGGGTTGGTCGAACGGGTACTGCTAATATACCCCCCCGGGCGCTCAACAAGGACACATGAAAAACATACAAAAAGTCTTGGGTGACAACTCAGAGTGGGCTACTCACCTAAGAACAGGCAGAACAGATCCACTCCGACCAGTAACTTTCTCCTGTGGTGGTCCTTGCAGTTATTGTTGAGTGAAATACCGCCGTTCCTCGTCTCGGCTGCCATCGTTTTCTCATAAATCAAACAGCGTTGCATTTAAAACGGTTAAGTGTTATCTTTCAATTAAGCCTAAAACAAAAAACCCCCCGGTAGCTATAGCGGTGCTGCGTACGCCGTTTTAATGGCGACTAAAAGGTTCTACGTAGACTCTCACAAGAAATAGTCGCGTTAAAACAACAAAACAGAGATTTAAAAACTACTTTCTACACTTAACTTCGCGTCTGTGGCTCCTAACAATAGCAGCTCACTCTTCCTTGCCTTCTGAACATCATTTACTCTTCAACATGGGGTACAGAGGGAGGACTGGGCCGGATGAACTTCCTTATAAGGAATAACTCCTCCCGCCACAGCACTAAAGCCCTCCCCTTCCAATTAATGCCATATGCAGTGGATTCCCACACTCGACCCATAGCAAAAACAAGGGAGATTCCACAAAGTGCATAATCTAATAAAAATAAAAAAATTCCAAGACTTAAGGTGTGTATTTGCTGGGCACGGTGTTTCAGTACTTCAAAATTTCCACCCGCCTTATGTCGACTTTTAATGTGGTCTGTAGTCTGACTTTTTTTCTTCTATTATTAGGTTGACTTTTGGTTAATTGACTATTGGTAAGACAAGATTTAACCCTTACTGTATATATATCCATCCTCCAGACCAAAACCATACATCAGCTACACAGAACAGTCAAAATATTGCCAGGTATACATACATATATATATATATATAGAACAGTCAAAATATTGCCAGTAGTGGTATCTGTGCTTGGTCAGAACACAAAAAGTGCAACAAAAAAAATGCACTAAATCTAGCAAAAACTCATGACAAACATTTATTATGCAACATATATAACAAAAAAATAACAACAAAAAAAAAACCCCAGTGCGAATAAGTGATCTTAGGAACAAATGCATTGAACACGTGCATACGATTTTAAATATAAACTTAAGACAAAGTGCAGAACACAAGGTGTCAAGAAGATCAGAACAAAATTATACCTGAAGCCTTTATAATAACGTGTCCTTTTGTTAAATATGAAGAGGTTAAAGGCATATTCTGTCACTGGTGATGAATCAGAACGTGTCAGCATAGAGTGGAGGTGGAGGAAGGAGCTCCAGCTCATTGAAGTCCACCTCCTGCTCCCTGTGGTCCAAAACCACAACAGGTTGGTATATATTTATACAAGTACTTTAACTAAAGCATCATATAGAACTGGGCTTCGTTTCACGAAAAGAAAATGCCAAGAAAACACAACACTTACGGATAGGGAGGCTCTTCAACAGTGCTCAAAAAATCTGAATGAAGAAAAAAAAAGAACATGCAAATAATGCAGGTTATTTATTGTCTCGTCTACTGGTCAGAATAGACACTAATTAAAGCTGTGCAAAAAAAAAACTTTGTATTAATTAGTTCCTTCCCTTTGTGCTTTAATTATATCAAGTAAAAGAAAAATTCATAAACTTACTTGGAGTTTCAGTACTTTAAGTTGGACATAAAAAGGGACAAAGACAAATGAATCAATATCAGCAATAAGACAAGATTTCAAATAAAAGATATTCCTGCCAAAAAAATAAATAAATAAATATATATAAAAAATTGAATGTACTTTGTGGGTGTTTCTCCTTCTGCTTCAGCATCATCAACAAATTCATCCTTGGTGTGTTGAAAGAAGATGGCCAGTTTCTGCAACGCTTCATGTCTGTTCCTTAAAACATTTCAATTAGAAAGAGTTCAAGACGTATTCCTTTTCATTTTAGGAAAAAAAAATGCATCTACAAAAACTTGGCTTCATCAGAAGATCCTGATATTTTTACTCACAAGAATTAATTATATCTCTGGAAAATACTTTTAGTATCTTGTCAAACTTCGAGTTGTATCCACAGTTTACCTTAAGATACATCATGTGGTTTAACCAAATATAGAAAAAAAAAAAAAAAAAAATAGGCGTCGTCTTTATCTGCTTTAACCCTTACTGTGTCTGTAGGTCCTCCAGGTTGGCATCGCTGAAAGTGTGCTGGGCGCCCACATGGCTACAAGCTGAAGAAGGATTGTGGGTAAAGTTAAGACAGACAGGGGGAGGCAGTGGGTTAGGAAATGGTCTGGGACCAGTGTAAATCAAAAGGCTTGTCACACAGTGTTTTATATGTCAGTGTAAAACAAAGCGACCACATGAAGAGCTTGTACTTCCTTTGCACTACTTACACAACTCCGACATGGAGGAGGTCTGCTGGGGCAAACTGCTAAACAAAATGATGAAAAGGAAAAAAAAAATTATATTCAATGGCCCATAACAACATTCTATAATCTTCAAAAGGACCAAATATTGCAGTCTTACTGGCTCTCGTTTGTGGGGGAGAGAGTTTCATCTTCACAGGCCCACTCCTCACTGTCATCTGTAACTATGTGGAAAATAAACTAGGCTGATGAAACGGCTCTCTTGGTGATAAACATTTACAGAAACCTCTCAGCCTACACCCATTTGAAACGTCAAAATTATATACCGTAGTGTCAATATGTTTCACTTTATTTGAAATCCTTGTGTATTTACGAGTAGATTATTGTTTATTTTTATGAGGAAATCAAATATGGAAATAATGTTTTGTAAAATGTATTGTAAAACTTACAGCTACTTGTCAAAACGGGATGATTGGAGGATCTGCCAAACAAAAAAACAACAGATAAAATAACTCATTGCAACCATTAGTTAAACACAAATGACATTTCAAAAGTCAAAAAAAATCTTCCACTTTACCTGCTATCGATGCTGATGGTGTCTCCCTCCTGGTTGCCTCCTTTTCCAGCAGCTTGGGCTTTCTTTCCAAGCTCGAGCATCTCCTTGATATTTAGCTCCACATTCATGACTGAAATGTAACCATCTGAAAAAGGGGCGACGAAGGAGACGAAAGTCGGTGATGGTGATGAAACGCTGTTGTTGTGCGTCTTCAGAAGGCACTGATCTCAAATTAATCTTTTGAAATTAATTTTAAAATACATTTCATTAGAAAATCAAACGACTTAAATGTAACCTTAATGGAGGACAACATGAACAAAATATATATAAATTTATATATATATTTATATAAATATATATATAAATATATATAGATGCATATTATATATATATAAAATAATTTTGTCTCACAAACCTTACATAAGTACCCATTTCACTCACCTATGCTAACACACTGGTAAAAAACGGTCCGAACTTACACTTGTAGTTGACGTCCCGAGCCAACCATTTGCCCTTGGGACAGCTGGTGGTACGGATGATGCTGACGGTGTCCCCGCTCTTCACAGGAAGGTCATTTTTTCTGACTTTACTGGCCACAACCACCTTGGCGTGGTACAAGGGTTCTTCATCGCCTGTCACCTACATCAAGATTCAAAAAAAAAAAA